CCAGTTTCACTATAACTGAGTTTTTATTTACTCTGCTATTTCTTTTACACAGTTGGATTATAAATTTCATGTAAATCAGCATACATGGTCTTCCAGTAGAAATTATTTACAAATCCTCTTGCTCTGAAGTCCAAAGTAATATAAACGGTCAACAATACTAAGTATTTGTTTCAGGCAGAGCTGAAGCACTTTCAACTCACACGTACAGCTTTGCTGATATTTATGAAAGTTCACAAATTGAAACTTTAAGTAAGCAATTGTGTCCTTCTGAACAGTACATTGTCATCTCTCTGTCGGATAACAATGTTTTACACATTGTGAACACTCAATAAATTTTGTATTTGTTAGATAAGGAATTTTATAATGCTTTGAAAGAGAAATAGCAAAAATACATCTTAAAAATCACAGCCTTTGCCTCCTAATGCAATGCTCTGTAACCCACCAACTCTACACTTAGGGAAAGAGATTTAGGAAGTCATCTTAAATGTAAATACGTACGCCACACACACACACACACACACACACACACACACACACACACAGGTAGTTATCACAGCACCTAGATATTCAGCAAACATTAACAAGATTAAATCCGTTCATGTGAAAGATTGTTACACAGCACAAGAGCAGTGATGTACAATAGGAAATATTACACATTAGTATAAGATCAGGTGACAAAGCGAGACTCAAGTATTCCATACAATATTATAGCAATTATTTTTAAGGCCATGTGGAAAAAAAGACTAGAAGACACATTGATGAGGCTACAATTTTTTCTCTGTTCTTTCAAAATTCCTACAAGGAGCACTTACTACTTTTGTAATTTAAAAAAAAAATGAGTTTTACTATAAAAAATACTCAATCTTTTACTCAAATAAGGAAGAAGCTCCAAAGTACGGATGGGAGATAACAAATGTAAATAACTGTGTCTATGCTGTCTGCATTTTACGTTCCCCTGGGTTATAACAGTCTCTTAATTGTGCTATAGTTAAGATAATTTTATAACAAATAATGAAATTGAAGTAGTATCTAACATTCCATTCACATTTGACCGCTGATAATCCACGTCTCTAAATCCTAAGCATTGTCACTACACTGACCTTCCACCCTAAATAAGCTGGCCACAAACCCAGGACCGTTTGAAATCTCTCTTCCCACTTCTGTCTTAAGCAACCACTGGATCGCCTGTCTCTTCAGACATGCTGGAATCTTCTTTAGTGGCATAGATCAGTGACTCAAAACCTCTTCAGTCAATGAACCTCCTGATGTTTATTCTCAATTTCTTTCCTTTTGATCCATCTCTTGCAGCCCTGTCCTCATTTGGGAAACAGCAACTGCTCACAGTCACTCAGACCCCAGTAGACTGGTAACATTCTCCCCACATGGATACTATGATTTTCACTCCACACTGGGATTTTCATCTGAGATCATTGCTCAACCCCCTGATATTACAGCCGATTACAGAAGTAATATATGACAAATATTAAATGTGAAGTCAATGTCTTCCACTATCTCACTTGAAACATCTTCCAAGCACTATGAATGAGCTTTCAGTTGAAAGCCAAGCCCCTTCAAACATTTTCCTCCTTTGCTTCCTTCTCCCCAGTCCTTCCCCAAAGCACAAGCATCCAGGCCATATCTTATCTTTTCCTGCACAACATCCAGTTGGCTTTTTATAGCCAGAAACTCTCTGAATGCTACACACGACCTTGGCTACCAGCTTCCCCTGGCACTAGTCTGAAAGTTATTTTTAACTTTGGAATTAGGGTGAAAGCCTATGTTTCTCACCACAATTAGCCGAAACATCCCCATTCCCTATAATAACGTCATCTTTTGTTCAGAAGGAACCCCACATTATCAACCCACGACATAGGAAGACACAGCAGTCCGAGGGAGAAGCCGGAACGCACTCAGGTCCAACTCTTCACTTTACAAACTTGGCTCTTACCTTTCTGCTCCTTCCTATAAAGTAAATATGCTTAGAATTCAGCTCTTGAAGGGAATTTCCCAAACAGAGCTCTGAAGGTGGGGGAAGCCTCTTGAGAGTCACAGAGTTACAGAGGACCAAATAGAGAGGCAGGGACAGTGGGGCAGTCACTTTAGCTGAGCGCTGCTCACCCAGGATAAGAAAAAAAGGGGAGGTTACAAGCCGGGGTGGGTGGTATCTAATCCTGAACTGCTTGTCACTGACCTCACTGACAACTTGTTACTGAAAATACTTCATTGAAAAAGGCCAGACACATACCTTCTCTGGAGACCCACATAGTTCCTCAGAAGTTACAAATAAGTGAGATTTCATTTTCTACTGGCCCCTTCCAAAATAAGGAACTATTGTTTCCAATTAAAGCTGAAGGCTAGAATTATTGAAAGTGAAAATTGTAAAGCAGAAGAAAACAAGAGTCTAGGAAATCTTCACACTGTGACTATTTAAAATTCAGGGTACTTGGAACCATGTGTCATATATGAGGTAGTATTTTTTCTGATGAAGTCTTACCTGTCTCACATCCCATCCCTATGTGTCCACCATGCTCTCTGCTTCTCATATTTATGAAGAACCACATAAGAACTGGTAAAGAAGTTAGACTGAAGATCTCATTAATAGAAGAAATTATTCAATTTTGGGCACCAAAAAAAACAGTCGTCTCCATGAATTTTTTTTTCAGTTTATGGCTATCTTTTCTCTGTATTTTGTTTTCCATATATAACATGAATCCTTCTGTGAATGTGAAGATATGTGCATATATACTTATATCCTTATATTCACCAGAACTGTATCTTAACCTTCACCCTAACAATACTACACCTAAGTGCTGACTCTTTATCATGACATCAAATCCTTGGTACCACAGCTGAGCTTGTATGGTATTTTTCCTTGGACATTAGCAATTTTTTCTTGTAATAGCATCTAAATAAGAAGTAGTAACTACAATATGAACTATTCACAAGTTTTGATGGTTCTGTTCTTAAGGGACTGAATTCAAAATAGAAGAAAGCATTTATTTATTAGCTCTACAGACACTGTTGGAACAAATATCAGAGAGCCAAGGGGAAAGGCAGGGTCTGGGGATCGTCAGAGAGAATCCACTGTGAAAGGGGTTTCATTTTATATGACTTCCAAGGAAGCCTACAAAATAAGCGTATTTTTATGTAGCCTTCTTTAAGATGTACATAATTGACATTTATCTAAAGATTCTTAGTTGCTAACATAATGTCCTCCCAGATTTTTTTTAAAGCAGTCTTTTTCCCTTGGAGAACCTAGGAATGGTCTCTTTTCACAGAGAAACAAAGAGTAAGTTTTATGTCTCACAATCCATCTTTTCTTGAATAAAGAAATCACTTGACACTTGCAAAATAGTAGGCTTTGTTTTAGAGCTTTCATAATGAATGTTTTCCAAACCAGGACTATTGAATTGAACCCAAGCTAAGGTATCCAAATTCTGTTATAAGCTTTGCCTGCCTTGCTGTAAAACCACAGTAAGTTACCTGCCTGCTCTCTACCCTCCTCTCTATTCTCAAAATGGACATGAAAATGCTTGTTCTTTTGATTTTTCAGTAGATGTGTGATTTAAATGTATAAAATCTGAAGTACTTACAATTACACTGAACTCCTCAAAGACGCAATGTACACAAAACCTTATTATAGGGCTTAGTGCTATGAAAACAATTAAATACTATTAGTATCCGAAGTGCAATTTTAAAGAGCTTTTTTCTTTGGCTGCTGCCTTGCTTATTTTTTTTCCTAATCCAGAAGAAGCCTGCAGCCTCAAAGACTTGTCTTTAGTTGAAGTATTTCCCACTCTCTCCACAAGGGGTCCTCTCTAGCAATTCAAATCACACAGGGTGCCCCATGGCCCTCTATATTTATATCGGTTTGCTGACAGAAAACACAGATCACCTAATGTCAAATTTCCATAGCTAACTATAGGGTAGCAGACAAAACCAGGGAGATCTGGCTTTCTCTGTGTGATCGCTGAAGCATGCGGAACACTAAACAGTTCCTATAAACTACACAGCCCTGCATTTTTGCATCTGGCCCCCTTCCAAATGTTCACAGTAATTCTCTTCCATCACCTTGCCCAGTCTTGTTCAGTATTTATGTTCCCTCCCTATTTACTTGTTTTCGTTCTTTATACTTTTCAAACTTGAAATTTTTTGGCTCACATTCCTCTTACAGACAAAGCGTAGGAGTAGAAGAGATGGAGTAAAAGAGAAAAGAGGGAAAATAAATCAGGGCCACTGGCAGCGATCTTCAGGGTAATCCAAAGCATGCTTTGGGTTCTGATATCAGGGCTGATCCCCCCACAAAGCCACTGGACTGTGTATACTGAGGCGGCCTTATTGTGGAGGCCTGTGCTCCAAGTCAGCTAGAAGATTAGAGACAGGAGAGGAAGGGTCCAAAAAGAAGATCATTGTATCCCTATCAGTAACTCCTCTTGGAAAATAAGCCTCCAACATGTAATCAGTTCCTACTCAGAATGGAATAAGGTTTCTTCTTGTCATTAACACCCTTTAAGAAAGCCGATCATAGTGGTTCACACCTTTAGTCTCAGCACTCAGGAGGCAGAGGCAGACAGATGACTGTGAGTTCAAGGCCACCCTGGTCTACATAGTGAGGTCCAGGCCAGCTGGGGCTACAGGGAGACCTTGTCACAAAAAGACCAAAACAGGAAAAAAAACTTTAAGAATGGAAATAGCTCTTGCATAAATCATGAGTCCCTTTTATTCTGTATATAATACTTCCAAATGTTGGTATTTGGTTAGGACTTTTAAATATATATATAATTTTAAGATGAGTCAATGAGATGGCTCAACAAGTGAAAGCACTTGCTGCCCACGCCTGACCACTTGAGTTTGATATCCAGGATCCACAACGGAAGGAGAAATGGTGAAAAGAGAAAACTGATAATTGAAAGTATCCCCTGACCTCCACACACACCCACACATCCACATCATATCTACATCACACCAACACACACACACACACACACACACACACACACACACACACACAGATGCATGAGCACGCCAAACATGACAAATTAAAAAAATTTTTCTTAAAAAAGAGAAGTGATTGAGGAATGACACCCAACATAAACCTCTGGACTCCACATGCACGCATGCACCCACACACTGCACACACACAGACACACATACACAAATATACACATATTTATATATATATAATATATATATACTTGTGTGTGTATGCTCTATAGCTCTGGTATCTTTAAGATGTTTCGCGTGAGAGGGGCTGGAGAGATGGCTGAGCAGTTAAGAGCACTGACTGGTCTTATGGAAGACATGGGTTCGAATTCCAGTACCCACATGGTGGCTAACAACCATCCATAACTCCAGCCTCTTCTCTCCTCCTTCTTTCCTTTTCCTTTTTAAAAGTTGTGTTTGGTTGTGACCCACTTCTGTGTCCCTGAGTAGTGGCTAAATAAATAAAATATTTTTAAGAGATGTTTTAGGTGAATCTAAATGTGTCTTTTCTTGTTTCAGAGATGTTATGTACTGTAACAGGAAAATATTTCTTCCTCTCCCTTCCCACCCATTCCCATATTAGTTACTAGCTGTCCTGCCTCACTGCGAAAAAAAAGAAGCCATCCACAAAGATCAGTCTACATGTTCCCATCATCAGATCCACAGAAGCCTGAGCTGCGAGCCCTGTACCCACTGTTCTCCTCCTACTACAGTGCTCTTGCAGAGGTTAATCCCTCTTCTTTGCGTGGAGCCCTCTTTGCCCCACGTTCTCAAGGAACCATTCACCTCCAGCTAATGTCCTGCATTATCATGACTTCTCTAGTGATCAGAAAAGACACACAATCTTTGCCTTAAAACGTATCAAGCTGGGTCTGGAGGTGCAGCTCCTTCAGAGAACACACGCTCAGCATGAACACTGGATTCAATCACCAGTACCAAAACTAAATAAATAAAAATAAAAGAAATCCAGAAAGCAAACAAAAAGGCTGTCTTCACCCTAAAGTTCCCTCCAATTGCAACTACAATCCACTATATATTTTCATCTCTCCTGTAGCCAAACAACTCACTCCACATGATTTTTGACCCCTTCACTTCCATAAGGGCCTATGTTTAAGTCTGCCAATGACCTCCATGTGGCCAAATCCATAGTCATTTTTTTTATTTTTAAATTCCATTTTTAAGTGTGGTGAAGGCTGAGAGATGGTTCAGTGATTAAGAGCACTGGCTGCTCTTACAGAGGACCCAGGTTTGAGTCCCAGCACCCATATGGCAGCTAACAACCATCAGTAACTCCAGTTCCAGGTGAAAACAACGCCCTCTTCTGACGTCCAAGGGCACTGCACGACATGGGTGCACTTACATACAAGCAGGCAATACATTCATACACATAAAAGGAAAAAATATTTTTTTTTAAATAAGTGTGTGTGTATAGGTCAGAGAACAATTTGTAGGAGTCTGTTCTCTCCTTCCACACTGTGGGTCCTAGAGATCGCACTCAGGTTGGCAGGCTTAGCAGCAGGCACCTTTCTTTACCTGCTGAGCCATCTCACTGCCCTGCCTCCTACACAGTGATCTTAAGGGACCTTAGCCAATGCCATCTATAATAGGATGCTGAGTTGGAATTTTCCTGTTGCCCAGAACTGGCAACTAGGGCTCAATACGAAAGAGGTAAACAACGCAATCTATGTAGATTAACATGCTACAGAAATCCCAGTTATTTGAAGACAGACACCTCACGTGTCTTACTAAAAGCTAATTAAGGAAAGGGCCACACACATTCCTCTCCTAGCCACCCTCTCGCCCCACCCCACCCCCAACTAGACCAAAAGTTAGGGGATCTGAAAAGTTAAGGGATCAGAACCAACGGCCTCTGCATCTCAAAGACGTCAAACGCTGGGAAAGTCAATGTCACCCCTTCCGCCAATTCCAAGTCCTACAGAAGGACGTCTGGTGCCAGGGAAAAGGAAGGAAGATGAGATCGCGGTTGGAATAAAATGAAAGCATTAAACAGGACCAAGCTAGCCAGGAAAGAACTAAAATGGCAGGACCGTCCACTGCACCCTCGGGGACGGAGAAGGAAGACGGAGCGAGTGTAGTGAAATACATCATTGGAGAAAATGAGCTAGCTCCTTCAACAAATCAGCTGTGCAAT